CCTCTACGGACAAAGAAACCTAACGAACAAACCCACCACTAAATGGAAACATACCAACCGTTAGCCCACCAGATACAACCGAGATAGAACAGCCCACAGCTACACCACCAGCATCCCAGAACACAACAATAGCACTGGGAAGCAACAACAACCAGAGCCTGAATCACAACCTGTACAACCTGAGCAGCAACCTAGAAGATCAGAACGCTTGAAAAACAAACTAATTGCGAAAGACTAATAATAAACGATGAGAGAACATTTTAGAACTATAAACTTAATCAGACCATGGATTGTAAAATAACTGGATAGGAAACTTCCTGACGTCATTGACTGCATCCTTGTTGAAAAATGTGACGTCGCGCGTATTGCGAATGTTACCAAAGTTCTCTGCATTTTTGTTGTTTTGCTATATTTTCCACTTTAAAAGGGTGATATTGAAACACAAACTGGTCTAATTGTTTTAAACACATGCCTAAGCCACGACAAAGTATTCAAAGTAAATGTTTTTCGTCTTTGTTTTGTATTTTTTTACATTTGTAGCTACGAAATTGGCGTCACAAATTTTAACGAAATGTATTTTTCACCGTTTAGGGACCGGTCATTATTTATGGTGGGGGGTGGCACCGAAGAGAAAAGGGTTGGGTAAACTAAATTTTGAGTAAGTAAAAGGTTGGGTAAATGAAAAACAAAACAACTCAAGGGTTGGGTAATAAAAAATTATTGTCATTTCCAAAGCATGACTCACTGAAGTATTGGGGACTAAAAAGCAGTAGGCCCTACTCTGGGGCGATAGCGAGATAATGCGAGTTTAAGCAATTTTAGGTGATTTAAGCAAAATATGCAATTTAAGCAATGCGAGTTTGAGCGATATAGGACAATGTAAGAAAACAATTAAAATTTTAGGGAATGCTGTTTTAGGTGTTTAGAGGTAATTTCAGGAATATACAACTATATCCCTGATGACTCCAATGAAATTACCATTAACCCATGCCAAGCATCCAAACATGAGTGTTCCCACAAACACACACACATGCAGTGTATGAAGCAAAATATACAATTTAACAAAAAAGTTGAAGTCTGCCTGAGGGGGTTCTGGAAACAAACAATACACTGTATGAGCATGACGATTAAGTGTTTAAAGGGTAAATAAGCTCAATATTCATGACTTTTTCCATCCATTGTCTATTTCGAAGCCATTGGGGTATTATTAAATCCATGACACAATTATAATACATGACCACATGTTCACATCATATGCAATTGCAAACAATTTTCAAAGGAGTAGGGTACAGAATTGCAATATAACAACATATAAGTAAATTATACATGTCATGAACTTACCAGTTTGTGTTGAGTTAAATTAAAAAATTTTTATGACATCAAATATTATTTATTTATTTGCAAATCAAAACATTTTAAAATTCTCGTGTTTTGTTTTGTATTGCGCCCGCGATATATTAATGGTATTAACCGCTGCGAATATGATATACATTTTTAATACATTACATTTGCGCTCAAAAGTTCAGGAAGTGAGTTTCTAGAAAGGATGAAAACTCCGTTTTATATATGGTATGTAAAAGGTAATCGTTGTTTACTGTTTATTTTGTATTCAGGTATTGGGAATTTAAGCGATGAGAGTTGCAAAAGTTGCAAATGTAGTCTGACTAGTTTCCTTGACGTCATCATGCAACTATTTAATATTGTGTTACATTCATTATTCAAATTATTCGCAGCAATTAGCCTTCTGTAAGCCATACAAATGATCATAGCTTATAACCCACCTTGCCTTTAGCATTGATCCTATATATAATGAATTAACATAACTAACTTGATTATGTTGCTAGTCGAGTATGGGACCTGTGGGTCTTCTAGATCCTAGAGTAGCACAATTAATATAAAGTATCCGTAAGGCGGTATATTAAAGACTGTTCTTATTTATGCATGACCTTTGACTATTAAGTGGCCAAAAATTGTGCCTACAGTAGTCAACATATTCCACTATCCAGGTTGCATCACTTTTGATTGCAAAACACCTGGGTTTATTTTATGTATATTTCCTGGTTTATTCAGACTGCAGAAAATTTCACAATCCGTTATCAAACTTATTAGGCCGTGGGATGAGCATCCAAAAGATGCAATTCCGTTGCACCCCTCGTGGAACTAAGTAATTTTCACATGAATAAATAGATAAAAACTTACTTTATCAGAATCCGTTGCTCCTCAAGTGAAACAGGTGCACAATTGGGAGAAAAATCCCTCCAAAGTTTGATATTTTCGCGCTTCGAAATATTCGAACCGCCATTGTTTTGATAGCAAATACGCATGCGCAACTCAGCCAAACTCGCACTGCGCACGCGCAGACTATAAAAATAGATTCTCACTGGGGGGTTTCCCCGATTTCCTCCGCAAAAACAACAAAATAAAATCACGGAATACTGATCAAACCTTGTAATATAAATACACCCACATTAAATATTGTTAAAAACACACTGTATATTTTGCTTGCTCATATGCTAAATCACTTCAATTCATTGGCTATTGTTTCAAAATACCGTTTTAACGTTTAATTCTTTGTGTGAGGTAAAAAACCCACCTGTATCAAACAGGACGGAGAATAAAAAATATATATGCATACAATTCACACGATCAAGGAACAAATAAAATATTTCGCTAAACTTAAAGCCTTGGCCAAACGTAAGAAACAATGTCGCGGAAATATTCGTGATTTTTAATTGGCTTTTATTGCAGACGCAAAATTTGCTTCCCAGAAAGCAAATTATTTCCTACCAAATTCAGATTTCAGAAGCATTTTATGAAACTCTTTATCCATTTGCCGACGCTGATAAGACAATATGACATACCGAAAGATTGAAAAGACAAATAATATGACAACAGTGTTTCCCAGTTCGTCCCGGGCTTTAAGGGATATTAATATAAACTCGAAATTCATCATAAAAAAAGATAAATTGGGAGGAAATATAAAATTCATTAACATTTACAAAACATTATAGCTATCTATAATTGAAAGAAATGTTTTCATCTTTGGACCCAGATTTTCATCAGAGCAATAAAATCCCACTTATTGGATCCTGGCCAAGGGCCTGCATGCTCAAAACGAGATTGCATGTATTCTGCAATAAGCTGTCCTGGCTTTTGTCTAGTAAAGTTCTACTTCTCCTATTTGAACTATTACATGTATTATATTTATATTGTGACATAATTTGGTATTTAGCCACTATCTAGAATAACAAGGAACGATTCAGCCTGGTTTTTCGTGTCCATATGCATACTAGTTGACTTTTTCTTATAGATTTGCTGCTGCGAGTTTCAGCTCCTCCACCAGGGTGCGTTTTAGCTTCTCAGACATGACCATACTATTAACCCTGTCCATGAGAGGGATATATGTGTTGATAATATAAATACTGTGGATCCGAATGAGAATATCAAATAAGTAAATAAATACTGATCTACTCCACTGATAATACCTACATGCATTACCATCATTGTTCACCTCAAATCATTAATAATTCATGAGCAAATTAGCCAACCATATTGTTTTATTTTGCTCACATGATAATACTAGATACTTTATGAAGTATATTGATCCTGTAGTGTCCTAGGACTGGATTAAATTAATTCAGTCCTTGGACTGGATCAAAATTAATTAAGTAGTGATTTATTTGTACATGAGATGTCATTTCAAATCCTCCAATTCGGACTGGACTAGATTTCAAGTCCTCACATTTTGATCCAGTCCTCTGATTCGTCTCGGACGTGATCAAATTGTGTGGACTTGAAATCCAGTCCAGTCCTCATAGTCGGATTTGAAATATTATCCCTTGTCAAATCAGATGCCAATGGTGGCCAAGGAAGATTCAGTTTTGGTATTTCTTGCACCTTTTGGTGAAGAATCAAGCATTGTATAGAATTTGTAACTCATTGACTTTAGAATTTCCCTCAGTTTCTGTGTTGGAATTCACATCATCATCATCAATGGTACAGCTCTCTTCATCAAAGTCCTCATCATTGTTTTCAGACTTAGGGCCTGTTTATATGGAAGCCGGGCTGGCCTGTTAAGCAAAACAGCCCGGTAAGCAAGATCTCACTGTGTAGTTATTTTTATAGTAAAAATTATCATGCGTTTATATGGACAAGCGGGCTGGCCCGGTTGCCGAGATCTCGTTTGAAAGAGGCTACTCAGGCTAGATCTCGCTTACCGGGATGGAAATTTCTCCATATAAACATTTACAAGCGGGCTATCCCGGTTGCTGGGATGAAGGTTCAAAAATACCGCCGCAAGCTATTTTTAACAACTGTCAAAACAATACAATGTAACAAAATTGTCCCGGCAAGCGGGATGAAAGTTTCTCATATAAACACAAGAGAAATTCATCCCGCTTACCGGGCTGCCTCGCTACATATGTTCCTCAACCAATTCAGAAGAATCGAAATTTTCCACATATACAATCTCACTAACATTTCTCATTTTCGGTGCACAGAACACAAGTTGGGGATAACTTTTCATCAGTCGTTGCTTGAGTTTAAAAGCTCTATATCTAGATGCATCCACATTCTCAGTGTCCTTAGCAATGATAACAAATTTCTCCAGCAAATCTTTCATATACTTTATTTGCTTATTTCCGATGACCTCCATCTCAATTACTTTCTTACAGAATACATCATAAAACTTCTCGTACACTGATACTCTCGTTGCTTCTTCGTCTCTCTGGCAAAAAATATTGTATAATTGCAGTAGCAAACTTTGTGATAGCGGATTTCCAGAGATACACAGTCTTTCCCCTGGATTTGCATGAGTATCTGTTGATCATTCTTTCTCTCAGCAGCTGTATGTAGAAGACCAGCATCAATTGTTTCTGCCAACATGAGTGGGGTTCTTCTTCTCTTCTTAGTTACCTGGTGTGAAACAAAATAAATTATTAAACTAATATAAATATCTGCTAATAACAAGGTTGGATGTTTGTAGCATAGAAACTACTTTACCCTATATAAACTAAATTGATCACAATTCAATATATTTTAAAACCAAACCTGAGAATGTTGTGCACATTGCGCTAGTATTATACCTATCAAAATACCATACCTTGTTTAGTGAGAACCATGAGGCGTCTCTTCCACAAATATTACATATCTTGGGGAGTACATGCGCGTTTCTTTTACGCAGGGCATTTATATTTATAGCTTCTGCGACTGATTGACGTGTATTAATTTTTCGCCTTGGTTCTATTGCCTCCACTTCCACGTGTGATTCTTCGGTAGAAGTTATAGTTTTAGAGCTAGTTCCTTCTCCTTTTTCTTCTTTTCTCTGTTATCTACGGATCTTCGGTTCATCACAAAATCTCTTCCAGCATTTCATATGATGGTTCCATTCTAAGTTAATGGTGTCAGAGTTCTTCTCGATGTATGAATTGACAGATCCGTCATCGATGTTCTCGTACGATTTCTTAGCTATTTCAGCTTGTTGACATTTAAGTTTGGCCCCATTTTGACCTACACTCAAGAAATTTCTTAAGCCTTTGGTGGCGTGTAACTTTGCAAAGTTGCTCCGTAACGCTCAAAATGCATAAAACATGAGGATATTCGAGTTTTATAAATATCTTCAGCCATGTTTATTTGCATAACTGAGCGTGTTTCCACTTCAAAGCATGTGCGTTGGTTGTGCGCGTGCGCAGTGCGAGTTTGGCTGAGTTGCGCATGCGTATTTGCTATCAAAACAATGGCGGTTCGAATATTTCGAAGCGCGAAAATATCAAACTTTGGAGGGATTTTTCTCCCAATTGTGCACCTGTTTCGCTTGGGGAGAAACGGATTCTGATAAAGTAAGTTTTTATCTATTTATTCATGTGAAAATTACGTAGTTCCACGAGGGGTGCAACGGAATCCGTTTTCTAAGCATCTTTTGGATGCTCATCCCACGGCCTATATGTCACAGAAGTGGTAAAGGACATATGTGACAACTCAATGGTACCTTTTGTAAATTTTTTGGCCAGGGGTGGGTATTTATTTTTTAATTGATATTTGAGGTTGGGTAATCATTTTTTTTTACTTTTTAATGGTTGGGTCAGCAAAATTCTTGCTAGGAAAAACATTTCTCTTCGGTGCCACCCCCCGCCATAAATAATGACCGGTCGCTTAGTGCTTGAAATATTTCCTAAAATTGACTGGGAATACTTAGAGTTTTCATCGTAGAATGGCGTGGTTATATTTATTTGCTCTTTGACTAAAATGTTTAACTGCATTATTGCTAAACATGCCGTTTTGAGAATTTGGTTTTCAACTAGGTTGAGGCATCCAACCACGCCATTAGCCCATTAAAACCATTAGGTCACGTCAGCTAGTTTCCTATCCATTTATTTTATTATCCATAATCAGACTACCAATGAAGACAATTATTAAAAGAACATTAAGAATCTAAAATTATTAGTTGATTATTAATTAATGAAGCACTAAAGATGTTAGGAAATCTAACTGAAAGGGGAGGGATGTAGTAACTTGATCTATTAATATATCAATTATCATATGTCAATCAACCAGCACATGTATCTTAAGCCCCATTTACACGACCCATTTTTATGTGACATTAGTTTTTCATATTTTTATGTGAGAGATGTATTTGGTCGTGTGGATGAGACAACAAATAATTGTTGATGCACTTGATTCCTGTTTAAAAAATATCTATGAACTTCGCAATAAAACATGGCGCGGACACTAATTATACTTTTACAAATATGGCGGGGGAAAAAATATGACATTTTATGTGACAAGTAATCTACACGAGCAATTTTTCGTGTGTGACAACTTTTATTTGCCATCTAAAACCCAACGCGCTAGCTTTTCAGCAACTGTACTTGCCACACAAAAATTGCCCAATTTTCCTCGTCTACACGAGCAAATAAAAATTGTCACATCAAAATTGTCACATAAAAATTGCTCGTGTAAACGGGGCTTTAGTTAGTTATGGTTATATACCCGAGTAATAAACAAGTGATTATTTATGTTATATGAAATGCGTGGTTTATAACACTACAATGAAGTTGCGAGAATCTCACCGAGTTGAGAAACGGGATGGATATAAAACCCGTCAGCTTTGGGGATATTGTAGTAGTCCACAAAAAATCACGCACATAAGGACTAGCTTTGTCTCAGATACTGTACATGATATACCAGCTAATGGACAGACAAGAGGAGCTGTAGAAAAGGTGATTTCAAAGAAAGGAAGATCATCCACCATAAAACGACCTGTTCAGCGATTCTACCCCTTGGAAATCAGATCTAAGGCCAACCCAAGGAGGATGACAAACCAGAAGTGAAGAGAACAAGACCAAGGAGAGCGGCAGCGATAGAAACAGATAACTGAAGAGATTGTGAAGATTGTAGATTATATATGTTGACAATTATAGTATTGACAGGGTGCGATAATTCAAGATTTTTAAGCATACCTGACTGGTAGCCAATGGCTGTTGTCGTACTTGTGCAAGTACAAACTCAGTACTTAATGTGTACTTAGTCTTAAAAATAAGGTTCACAAAGTACAGCTTTCTGAAAAAAATGTTCAGATTACGAGGTAGAAAAAGAAGCACAATTGCATATACAAACAATCGACTCCAATGTTTCTTAGTGCCATCAGCCCAGCATGTTTCATGCCAACACATATCAGATACATGATATACCAACTAAATTACGGTACTGAATACTTTGTGCTTGAAAAGGTCATGTGGTAGCAGAAAAAAGTAAGTACGTAAAAAGCAAGAGTTCTGCGTACCTACGTGGTACGTGGCTGAAAACAAAGAAGTACCAGACCGTAATATTGGCGTAACATCCGGTACGTAAGTATGCGAATTATCGCAACGTGGATTGAACTTTGGATATTTGGTTAGTTTTTAACCACCACAGAGATACGAAAAACTAGTTTCATATTAATCTGACACTGCAATTGACCAACGAAAAATTCGTTGGCTCGAGCGGGATTTGAACTCGCATCTTCGGGTATCTAGACCGCCGCTCTACCTATTGAGCTATCGAGTCAACAGGGATTTGTAGCGAGTCTTATCCAATTTAAGTGCACGAAATACTTTCGTGACGACTTAACGTTTGTCTTAGAGGACGTGCAGTGTTTCAATTCTATTTCAGAACCATCCTCAGAGATACGAAAAACTAGTTAGTCGGTGGGGCCACCTGTGGTACCCACCGACTCTAGGTTTGCCCTTTGGTACGCCACAAAATGACAAATTACGTCATTTTAATTACGTAATTCTTACGAAATCAAAATCAAAATGGCGACCATGGAATAGCGTTAAAAAATTCGCCATTGAATATTTGGTCTTTTCTTTTGGGGTTTTTGAAAGAAATATATTAAGAATTCACTAAAAGTTATCACGACGTTTCACTGTTACGTTATCGAGGAGGGAAGTGGATAATTTGTACATAATTTTATATATTTAAAGTTTGTATCGTGCGGCGGAGATATCTGGCGCGCAATTTTGATGCTTTCTATATATATATTTACTATTGAATTTTCGAAATCTCCGGCACGCAATTTCCAAACTTCGGTCTACATTATAAATTAAACTTAAAGTCCGACATCCAGTCTACATCCTATCCGTATTAAATAGCATTAAAGGATTAGGTTCATTGGGACAAAATGTACATGTATTACCAAAAGCTGAAAAGGAGGAACTCAGTTTCCTGATATCGTGTGGAGGTAACTTGGAGTCTTTCTTGGCACAATAACTTATTATTCCATGGAGTTCGCCGCCTTTATACTGCACACTGGTACGTAGATTAGTAGATATGACTAAAGCGTTATTGCTATACATGGTTGTAGACACAGGTCATTAGCTAGTCGCTTGGTAATCATGCGAAATACCTCTCCTCTCAGGAGGCATTTTTGTAGCCTATTAGACAATAGATAGAAGTTATAATGCGTCTAGTTTCGAGGCGAAGAATATTCTTGCCTTCGATGCATTGACTAGCTAGCTATTAAAGTTCGGTTTTAATTTGGACAGTTGATAACATAACACCAGCCGATCTGTGTAATGACAACAGGATAAACGCTTATAATTTTAACACATACGATACACTATACTGTATACAGCATACTATATGACTATTAAAACAACATTGCTACATGGTTGTATTTGTTTTAACTATTAGCGCTAACTACCAGGCAAACTGCAAACTTCAAGAATAAATATTTTCGGAAAAACAACACGCTCTTCTTTAATTAATGCTATTACTTGTACTTAAAGTTGCATATTTCCATCGCCCCGGCGACTTAACGCTCCGTGGAGCGTCTTGTTTCATATTAATCTGACACTGCAATCGACCAACGAAAAATTCGTTGGCTCGAGCGGGATTTGAACTCGCATCTTCGGGTATCTAGACCGCCGCTCTACCTATTGAGCTATCGAGTCAACAGGGATTGGTAGCGAGTCTTGCACGAAATATTTTCGTGACGACTTAACGCTTGTCTTAGAGGGCGCGCAGTGTTTCAATTCTATTTCAGAACCATTTTCAGAGATACAATTTATTTCTTCACATTAATATACAATTTATTTATTGACATTATTGAACTACTGTTTTGTTAAGCGGAGACATGGCGCATGCGTATAGAAAACGAACACGAAGAAGAATTTTGTTGAGAATTGTACGTACGAAAGGGAATTTATGTGTTTATGTTGTGCAGGGCTGGGAAAAGTATCGGACCATAGAACCATTGGTCCCAGAAAATTTTTCGAGCTCCCAGAAAATATTTCCCCGGGAAAGGAAAAAAGATTATAAATATTGTAAAAATTTAGATAAAAGGAGAAGTTCAGGTTCTAACCAAAAAGTTCTAACCAAAAAGTGTGACCTCATAAATGCAATTATAAGTGCATCCATCCTAATAGTTTAATAACAAATGTTGTATGGCAAATGCATTTTTAGCCAATCTGAGACATCTGATTTTCAAAATTTTCTGGGGGAGCATGAATTTCCCTGGTAATGCCTCCTAGTAGTGTCTTTTTTTTGCATCTTTATTTATACCTTAGGCGTAAGAAAAAAATACCTGTGGTTCTGGTTTCATATCGTGAAAAAATTAGGGTCGGTAGGTCGGAAATAATTTTTTTTTTGAATATTATTTTCATGGTTTTGGCGATTTTTTGCTGGGCGATTTGCAGTAGAGTCCCGACATCAATATTAACTAGAGATGCGTATTTCTGTTCTATATTGATTTTATGAAGTACTGGATATAGACGCATGCACAGGAGTGAACTGGAGCGAGCAGTTCAAGAGGGCGCAAGGTTCTTTTTAGAAATAGTCGTTATTACACTTATTTTGGGATCAAAGGTTCTCTTTGGCATTCAATCCTTACTCGGCTACACGAGAAATACATTACAAATTGGCGACGAGGATTAAAATTACATGGCACAGCAAAATAATACGTGCTTCGGCGTTCTGGAACCTTTCGATGGCGGGGATTTTATAGATTACAGTGAGAGACTGAATGCATATTTTATTGCAAATAACATTGGCCAAGTCGCAGCAGAGGCAAATGAAGCTGCAAAACAAGCTGCAGACAAAAGGAAAGTCGCCGTAACTATTTCGGTGATGGGGAAAAGCACATACAGTACATTGAAAGATCTCTGCCTCCCTGATTTTTTAGCTGAAAAGTCGTACGAAGAAATTATTACAATACTCAAAGGATTTTACAAACCGAAAGTACTCGAAGTCGCAGAGACATACCGATTTCATCAGGCAGTTCAAACGGAAAGCGAAAGTGTACCTCAATATGCAAACAAACTGAAACGTTTAGCTGTACATTGTAATTTTGGCACCTATCTTACAAGGGCATTACGACATCAATTTGTTGGGGGCGTTCGAAGTAGAAGTATTAGAAAGAAACTTCTTTCTGAAGACAGGACATTTGATCAAGCAGTAAAGGTTGCCCAAGCAGATGAGCTAGCAGAGAAAGAATCGAAAGAATTGCTTCTCAGTGCCGAAAGAACGAAAACCACACAAGCTCACAGTATATCAAACAAGAAGAAATATTCATTCAAAGGCGGGGAAGCAAACAAGGCAAAACCTGTTGAGCAAGGGAAAACTTGTTTCAGATGTGGATCTACACAACATTTGGCAGACAAGTGCAGCCATACCTATACAAGATGTAACTATTGTAAAAAAGCGGGGCACTTAACAAAAGTATGTTTCAAGAAAAAGAAGGCAGATAGCAAGGCCAAGGCACATAACATTGTAGCAACACATACTGATGAATCTAGTGACAGTGACAGTGATATGAATTCTGTTAACGGTACACCACTAACTATTTTTATGCAGAATGTAAATTCTGTGGGACAGAAATCTCGCCACAATACCAATTGGGAGTGAATATTAATGGTCAAGAAGTCTCCATGGAAATTGACACTGGATGTTCAGTAACATTATTCAATTCTAGTGATTTGAAAGAATGGGTGGTGACACAAATGTTTTGAAACCTGCTACAGTGGTACTTAAAAGTTACACGGGAAATGAAATCAAGTGCTGTGGAGAAGACAACATGAAAGTCAAAGTGGGAGAACAAGTAAGTGACATAAAAATTCGAGTGGTTGAAGGACCATCACTACTAGGACGTGATATTATGACTAAATTTAGACTACCGTGGCACAACATTTTCAGTGTTGCTCCTACCACTGCAGAGGATATTATACAACAATATCCTGAACTGTTTGATGAAAGAGGAGTAGGAAAACTGAAGGGGGTACAAGTGTCATTAAGTGATAACCCAGTGTTTATGAAACCCAGAGTGGTACCTTTTGCAATTCGGAAAAAATACGAAGAAGAATTAGAGAAACTAGTCCAGAGTGATATTATTGAAAAAGTAGAGCACTCGGAGTGGGCTTCACCGACTGTTCCTGTGATTAAGCCTGGTGGCAATGTATGGATCTGTGGAGATTATTCTGGTACAATTAACCAGGCAGCTACATTAGAACAATATCCAGTACCTACATTTATAGAGTTACTAACAAACCTTTCAGGGGAAAAGAAATTTACGAAACTTGATCTTTCACAGGCGTACCATCAATTAGAACTCACCCCTGAAAGTAGGAAGTACACAACAATAAATACGCATCATGGGTTATACCAGTACAAACGATTAGTTTTGGGGGTAAACAGTGCGATGTCCATCTTCCAACGTACCATAGAAAATGTACTCAAAGGTCTTCCAGGATGCTGCGTTCGGATTGATGATATTTTGGTAACAGGGGAAACTGATGAGATTCATATGGAGAATTTGCATCGTGTTCTGCAAAGATTACTAGAGAGCGGGCTTAAACTCAAGCGTGAGAAATTCCATTTCATGCTCGGGGAAGTTATTTATTTGGGAATGTCAATCTCGGAAGCTGGCATTTCACCAACATAGGAGAAAGTGCACGCCATCAAAGATGCCGCCCCTCCAGCAAATGTTTCTGAGTTGCAATCTTTTATTGGTACAGCACATTTCCTGCGTAAGTTTGTGCGAGGGTTTGCAGAATTTATGACACCTTTGTACAAATTACTTCGGAAAGGAACTCCATGGAAATGGAGTAAAACTGAACAGGAAGCATTTACCACTATCAAGTCGGCATTGTGTTCGGATTCTATATTAAGACATTACGACCCAGCTGCTGAGCTGGTACACCAGTGTGATGCATCTTCTATAGGAGTTGGAGCTGTACTGCTCCAGCCTGGACATGATGGCGCATTACAACCAGTAGCATACGCTTCTAGAACTCTTAATGCAGCTGAGAAAAATTACGCTCAAATTGAACGTGAATCGTTAGCAATTGTATTTGGAGTTACAAAATTCCGCCAATATTTACTTGGCAGACATTTTAAACTCCTAACAGATCATAAACCGTTGATAACCTTACTGGGGGAACATAAGTCATTTCCACAGTTAGCGTCGGCACGGATCAAGAGATGGTCCCTTCTTCTGGCAGCATACAACTACACGATTGAGTTTATTTCTGGAAAAGAAAATGTCTATGCAGACTTTCTTTCAAGGAAACCTATTAACATACAAACAACTCCGGAGGAACAGGTAGAGGTTCGAGTCATGTTTATCCAAGGAGAACAAATTGTTAATTCCACAATGGTTGCCATGGAAACTAAGAAAGATCCAGTCCTAAGTAAAGTACTAGATTTTACGAAGAATGGGTGGCCAGAAAAACCACAACCTGAATTACAACCTTCCCAGGTTGAAGATCTTGGCAAGATCTTGTAAGATCTTGGAAGATCATGGCAAGGTCTTGGCAAGACACTAATCTTGCCAAGATATTACCAATATCTTGCCAAGATTATTCAATCTTGCCATACTTGCCAAAATCTTGCCAAGATTGTCTGAAATTCTTGTCAAGATCTTGCCAAGATCTTTCATGATTTTTCGTCATACATAATTATTGCTGAGTTGTATTTTTCGACCTTCATAAGTATAGGTATAATGAACCTTGATCAAACCAATCGCATATATCACAACATTGCCAATACTCTATCATGATCTTGCCATGAACTTGGAAGATCTTGTCAAGATCCCACCATGATCTTGCCAAGATCCCACCATGGTCCTTGCCAAGATCTTATCACAATCTTGCCAAGATTCTATCATAATCTTGCCATGATCTTGCACAATCTTGGCAAGATTACACCATGATCTTACCAAGATCATATCAAAATCTTGCCAAGATCCTATTGTAATCTTGCCATGATCTTGGAAGATCTTGTCAAGATCCCACCATGATCTTGCCATGATCCCACCATGATTCTTGCTAAGATCTTATCACAATCTTGCCAAGATTCTATCATAATCTTGCCATGATCTTGCACAATCTTGGCAAGATTCCACCATGATCTTACCAAGATCATATCAAAATCTTGTCAAGATCCTATTGTAATCTTGCCATGATCTTGGAGGATCTTGGCAAGACTCCACCATGATCTTACCAAGATCCTACCATGATCCTTTCTAAGATCTTATCACAATCTTGCCAAGATTCTATCATAATCTTGCTATGATCTTGGACAATCTTGCCAAGATTCCACCATGATCTTGCCAAGATCTTATCAAAAATCTTGCCAAGATCCTACCATAATCTTGCCATGGTCTGAAAATCTTGCCAAGATCTCACCATGATCTTGCCAAGATCTCAGCATGATCTTGCCAATATCTTACCAAAATCTTGCCAAGATCTTATTGTAATCTTGCCATAATCTTGGAGGATCTTTTCAATATCCCATCATGATCCTTGCTAAGATCTTATCACAATCTTGCCAAGATTCTATTATAATATTGCCATGGTCTTGGAAGATCTTGTCAAGATCTCACCATGATCCCAGCATGATCTTGCCAAGATCTTATCTATCTTGATCTTGGAAGTTCTTGACACAATCTCTTGTCATGATTTTACCATGATCATACCAAAAATGCCATGATTTTGAAAGATCCTTGTGAAAGGAGGCTTTTACGCGCACAGTTGCTCTCGCACCTTTGCGTGCCAGATCCAAATGACTGAAATGAGATCAATTAATCAATATCTGTAAATCTTGTTATCTGCGCATTTTTCGCATATTTGTGGTAGACAACCGTTGGTAAAAGCCCCAAGGCGCGTTTTATAAGTCAAACATACAAGGTACACGGCAGTTTATACTTCTGTTCCTCGACTTTGTTGCTGCACTAAAGAAGAAAGGATAACTTGTCGAGCTGTCTTAAATAAAAAGTAAGTGCTTACAACCTATTTTGTAACACATTATTTGTATATTGAATGAATGAGCGCTAAGCAGTTTGATTACCACATGTAATAAATGTTTCAAGCTTTTTCAAATAACCTTACAAAAGGCTAAGTTAATCGGCTAAAGCGATGCAATGCTTGCTGTAATTTCGACTTTAAATAATTTTAATAACACCTCATCATTGGTCGCAATAAGCTTTTACGTGATAATGCCTAGTTTAACGTTTTGTTAAGAATGACAAAGCCGTTGAGAATACCCCTGGGACCACAAATTATTATATTCACACAGTCTTATATTTATTACACAGCTTTTGCGCAGCTTGCGCTACTGAAATGTCCTGATAACCGTAGTTTTGACAGATCCGGTGCCAAACATCGTAAATGCAGCGCATAGGAACACGCAATTTCACACTACGGTATAAATGTGAGCTTCATTAGTGAGTTAAGTTTCATTATGCCAACCAGTGAAGCTAGGATAAAATATAGAGATCTTTCATATAAAATTAATGGTTTGAGCTATGATTATTCAACATGTGTATTATTCAAAATTTGTTATTTCAAATATTATTTAGGAAAACATGGTGAAGGCATCCCCAAATGATAAAGCTATGGCCAAAAAAGAAACTACAGAGATCGAGATTGTAAGTATGAGTGTATACATGTGTAATTTATCGTTTTTACTTAAAAAGAATTCAACTACAGTGATTTAATATCAAGTATTGTTAATTCATTTTAGTGGCACAATGACATTAATTTGATGACCGTAAATGCACCACCAAGAGCCATCAAAATGTGCAATCAAATTATTGGACTTCCTATTTTCATCGGAAGAGCTCCAGGATGGAATACTATTCCAGTCGAAAAGATCTCCAAAACCAGCACTAGATCCCAACAGGGTCACTAAGCTGTTTGGTAAGAATAATATATGTGATTTGACTTGAAGAAAAATTAACTGGCCAGCTGTGAACAGATATATACAAACTTAAGACTAAGTTGCCACAGTATGTGTTAATTAAAAGTACTATAGTTTTCTTTGCCAATGGCAATGTGTTTTGGGTAAACATTGAAATGAACTTAAATACAAAAAATAGACTTACTTTAACACAGTCTTTTTTTACGATATAGCTGTCCTCAATGCCAAGTATGGCGAAGAAAAAGTACAGAGAACAGTAAACACGCCAAATTATCGTGGATGCGTGCAATCAAAATTCAAAAGTGCCACGATATGCGAAGAAAAACAAAATCGAAGAACTTGCAATAACAATGGTGTCAATGCTAATATAATTCATGAAGTAAAGTATGAAACAACCTCCGAATAAAAGTTCCATCTTGAAACTCAATTCTTTAGAACAACATTATTAAGAACAGACAAGATTCCCTTTGTTTTCTCTCAAATATTGAGCAAGGTGGAACTTTCATTTGGACTTTATTTCAATCGCCATAGATATTGATAATATTTTACCAACATTATTGGTCTAATTTACTACATTTACTATGCAAACTAAACCGGGTAAAAGCTTGAGTATTATAATTTGGATGAACTAATTGATTACAATTTAATAAAGACCGACACTGAATTTATGGCAATATTGTACACTTTTACGTTAGTTTGATAAATTCAATCAAAGTTATATAGTATAGTATATTTCATGTAGAGCCTCTTCATTCTGTATTTGCCATGTATTCTTGCCACGAACTTGGTAAAATCTTGTAGGGTCATGGCAAGATCTTGCTGGATTTTGGTAAGATATTGAAGGATCATGGCAAGATCTCGCAGGATTTTTGGTAAGGTCTTGGAGGATCATGGCAAGATCTCGCAGGATTTTTGGCAAGATCTCGCAGGATTTTTGGCAAGATCATGGCAAGATCTTGCTGGATTTTGGTAAGATCTTGGAGGATCACGGCAAGATCTTGCAGGATTTGTACCAAGATCATGCCAAGATCTTACATAAATCCTGCAAGATCATGGAAAGATCTTGCATGATCTTGCAAGATCTTTCCAAGTTCTTGCAGGATCTTACCTAAGATCTTGCAGGATCTTGCAAGATCTTGCCATTATCATGGCAAAATCTTGCCATGATCACAGCAAGATCTTACAAGATGTTTGGCAAGATCTTGCAAGATCCTGCAAGATCTTAGGTAAGATCCTGCAAGAACTTGGAAAGATCTTGCAAGATCATGCAAGATCTTTCCATGATCTTGCAGGATTTATGTAAGATCTTGGCATGATCTTGGTAAGATCTTGGGTAAGATCTTGTCAAGATCTTGCTGGGATCTTGGCAAGATTGTCAACCTGGGAACGTAATAACAAATTATAATTTAGGTTTTGGAAATCAGTGGGTTTTTATCAGGAAGCAGTGCGCGCTAACACTCTCTTACAACATTTCGACGGCCATTTTTAAACACCAAATTAAACAAAGTATAGAAATAAAATAACACTCGAAATAAAGTTTTTGGTTACTTAAATCTTATCTTTAAGTTTCTTATAATAGCTAAAAGTAACAAAAACATATAAATTTTACACAAGTAATATTTTATAAAGCAATAGTTTCAGCATACCTTCTGATGGGTCATATACGCGTAGCCATATTTGTTTACAATTAGAACGTCTTACCCCCCGCGAAGCCCGCATCACGGATGGGCAGTGCTTCCATTTTCAAGGAAATTTCCTTTTCTAAAGAAATTCTAGTGTCGAAAAGGAAAATCTAAGGAAGAGAAAAAATCTAAGGAAATCTAAGGATTTTTTCCCAACAACTTAAATATTCATCCAAGTGCATTAGTGCAGAAGAATGTTTCGCTATTTCTTGAATTTTTGAGTGAATTATCAATTATGTTCAATTAAAAATCTGATTTTAACTTTTTCCTCGTGTTTCCGAAAACTTCCGAAAGTTTTTGAGCGACAGGATTTGGTATCTTTTGGCGCCAAACGCTGTGAATTAATTATTTATATCAATGGAAAGGTATATGTTGTAAACTCACTGAACAAATATTTAATTTTAAACAGTATAATAGCCTGTGGTTTTTTAGCTAGCAATTATCTTTGTTAATTGTGCTATTTTGTGCCTTTAAAATTGATTAAATCCTTTGTATTGCTACAAAAGCACTGCAAAGGTCTGCAAACCGCCTAAGGAATTTTCAAGGAAATAACGTATACAATCTAAGGAATTTAGAGAAATTTTGATGACAAAAATGAGAAATTTTGATTTTGAAAATGGAAGCACTGCGGATGGGTCCGCTCGATGTATGGCCGTTTCTACGCCCTCTCTCCCTTCGCCCTGATTAAAAAGCATGTCACATATAAAAAACATGAACGAGCCATTGCCCATAATAAAACAAAAGGGTGCAAAACTTGTTTATTTTTTCCCTTGGTGGGAAACTTGCCTAAAAAATTGTGTAATTCAAGCTGAAGTTATAATTTATCAAGACAAAACTAGTAGAAGACTAGGCTAGTTTGATAGAGATATGTCATATTCAAAATCACAATGGCAATTCAGCCGTTTTGAGCGTTTTCAGCCATTGGCCATTTTCATAATAAAACAAAGCGCCGCAAAAGCTTCTAACTTTTTCTAAGCCTCTAAGGTGTGAAACATATTGTAAAAAATTGTATAATTCAAACTGAAGTCACATATATCAAAAACAGACTAACAGAGAAATGACTGTTTTTAACCCTTTTAAAAAACTATTTTCCTAATGAAACAAAGCATGCGAAAGTCTTTTTCCCTAAGTGGGAAATATGAGGCAGGTATAAAAGTCGGACCGGATCACCAGTCCGGGTCGGATCAGGTCGGACCAAGTCGGATTAGGTCGGATCTTTAGAAAATTGAGAAATATCAGGATATTCCTGGAAATGTTACTTACAGAAATGGAAGTTTGCATTCTTTCCCGCAATCCCGCGTTATTTACACAGCGTGGCAAATCGGAAAAATGGACGGCGACGAAGGTAAAACGTTTTATGTTATTAGATTTTTAGACCAATTTTTTGAAAATTATTGCATCGAAAGACACTTGAACTGCCTTATCAATATTTGTATTTCCTTTAATTCCAGAATGCAATTTTGATCTTTGGTATGATAAGTAAGTTAGTCAAATATGACATAATTTTATGTTATGAATATTTCATATATTTAAAATTTTAAATAATATATATGTACTCCGTTGAAAACCAAGTCTCAAATGTATTAGACCTCCCTACGTCAGGGAGGTCTCCGTCTGAATGTTTTGTAGAATTCTGATCCACTTTTCCATTTAATAAAATGTGTGTTCTATACTATATATACATATCAGTAACTTATAAAAAGGATTCAACATCAACCAATTTTGTAGTCCATAATTTTGGCGGATTGGCTCCTTGGCTTTAGGAATGCTTATTAGCTAACACATTATTGGGGCTTGTATATTAGCGTCATAAACGTCCGCGGAAAGGCTTCTTTTTATTGGCAACTATATAAAGTACCATGCTGTTCTGTCTTCCTGAAATCAGTGAAGAATGAAATGTTTTTGTGGCCAGGGCTCGAAATAGCGAGCTGCCAATGGGCAATAATGGCCAAAAGCAGGCCATATTTTAGAAATGGCAGGCAAAAACAAATTTGTAAAAAGTAATGGCAGGTGAAATTTTATAGATATATTTAATTTCATTTGCTTACCACAACTCATATATACTAGGTCATATTTAGGTGACTAAGTACGTTAAAACTGTTTAGACTGACAGGCCGTATTTTTTCTCTCCTTCGAGCCCTGCTGTTGCAAATTAATTTCAGCTACAGGCCATTCAATTTAATATCCACACACCCCCTATGGATGAGATCTGTCAAATTTTAACCACTAAGAAAAAAAGATCAAAGTGCTGACACAAAAATTCCCTCAGAAATTTGTAAATTTTTCCCTTACCCCTCAGAAAAATTGCAGAGATAAAAGGATGCCGACAGGTTTAACCCCTCAGAAATGACTTTGGGGTCACCCTTCAGGAAAATTCATCTAAAAGGGGGGGGGCATTAAACGGAATCTCCCCCAACACCCTAGGGCTTATATTTGGAAGGCTGAGGGAGGTACAACTTATTCAACATGAATCATGAGAGAGTAAAGTAAAGATTTTAATTAGCAATCACTGCATAAAAATGGTCCATGCAGGTAAATGCACTAAACATGCTATATGTAGACATTTTAATTGACTGAATGTTAAATTAGTTACATGTGGTTGGTTTACATATATTTCCCAATTCTTACCCTATTTTAGATAGCTAATAGCCTAACGACATATCTTCTTTTTGAACTTCAGTCTTGGAATTCTTATTACTTGTGAATTATGATATTTTGTTACTGATTATTACTGGTTACTGTTATCTGCCCAGTTATTGGTATTTTGGTGATTTTAATTTTGTGAATCGACTTCAACGGAAATTTTATTCGTTGAGGAGTGGCAGATATGCAGTGTGATTAATTGTTTCATTTGTATATAGTAATTAGAATCCCATAGTTTGAATTTTATAACATATACTTCAAAAGGTTTATATGGATATATTTTTTAATTGCATAATAATGCAAATGTAATATTACATAATAATAATTATGTAATATAATTCAGAGTTCTTGAAGAGAAGATGGAAATAGGAATATGTGCTGCCATATAATTTGTAGCTATATTTGTCCCATTCACAGTATGTGCGTCTTATTTTTAGCGATTATCCAGAATCAAGCACAGATGATGTGGAAGTGAGTAATTTTTCCAAGATTGTTTTGTCATTGTTTTGTCAGCAGTACTCTCCGAAATGTGCAGATCTTAATCCATTTGTGTATGGTTCTAATGACTAAAACAAAAATATAAATTTCCAGTTCCAAAAATATTGTCTTAAATTGCACTTGTTGTTTTTCCATTTACTGTTCCAGAAAATGTTAGAAATACACTCTAAAAGACTATGAAAATGCTATTTCCGATAATCTACAGACTCCAAAATTTGAAAATGTCTCCATGACCATGATTTGGAAAATTGTGTATGAAGTTCTAAAATCTTGCTAACAAAACCCTGTTTCCTGTTCTTCATGTAACTGATGTTGTCTTCCAATTTATTTCAAGTGATGTCTTTGATATACTGGTTAATTTATGAAATTCCACAATGTACAGTGCCACTTTCCACAGCAAAATTCATGGATTCCAGGTAGTTGGGGAGGGGGGGCGTTCTGGACCAATCTATCCGATCTCACATGGTCACGTCTGTAGCATTCACTTAGCTGCCTAAATACCTACCCTCGTGCCTAACCCTGGTAGTGATGTCTGAAAATCAAGGATAGAAAAAACCTGTTTTGTCTTTTTAGTTACAATGTAATATAATGCGTTACAGGCTACTCGTTACATTTGTGATAATTTTAGCCTGTAATTCATTTTATTTCTGAGAAGGAACGGAAAAAACGTAATTAATTACAAAACCGAGGAACCCATTACTTTTGCGAACGAAAAATTACAAATTCCATTTTTCAAATTCCTCTTCTGGAATTTGTAGTTACAGTTAAGAAAATTCTGAGAAAATATGATTCTATTGATTCATTAAACCATCAAAATGACTTCATTGACAAATTAAATGAAACTCGACCCTGTGAATATTATGTCATTTCAAGCTCAAATATATTAATGGTTTCGGTATTAAAAATATAATGCGTGTGGAGGTCTAATTACCTATTTTAAAATTAAATTAATGTAATCTGCAACGATGATTATAAGATGCAATTTTTTCCTAATTATTCGCGTTTATAGTACTTGTGTTTAAGAATTTGTATTGTACGTGTTCGTCTTTTTTTAGCGTTTGCTCTCAAGAAAGTCTCATTCTAAGTTCCAATACGTCAAAGTTTATACAATACATATATTATTCAGTTCACTCCCCATTGCGGCTTTTCAGTGACCAAAGTTATTTATTTTCAGAACTTTATAATCAATTCAAATATTATTTGCCCACTCATCAACAAATTCAGATAACAAATTAACAGTCTTAACATTGCAGACATGTGGTAATTGACATTGTTTTTCCCTAGGACGGTAATGCTGTGGAAATAATCACCATTCCGGACAGCCCTATTAAAATAAAAAAGGCTGAAGTGCGACAACCTTGTCCACAGGTCCCCATTATTATTGACGACTCCCCAATCAAGAAGGAGTTGCCGATTCTAGAAAAAGATGGCGATCGTTTTGACGGCAACCCTGTAAAACCAATGTTGTTTCTCGGAAAGAGGACTTTAACTTCTGATCAGATCATATCACTACTGTTTAGCCCTGATCCACATATGGTGTGTTCGAAACAGCCATTGAAAGTGCAAAAAAACTGTGAATTTTTGGTTGACTTACGACACATAAGCTTAGAAGATCTTAGGGCCGATGGAAATCCTCCCTATGACAAGTATGGAGGCTTCAGGAAGAAGAATATCCGTGTGGAAAAGAACAAAGATGGAGGTTACGTGCTTTCCAATGTATCCTCAAAGGTGGAGACGATCACCAGAAATGATCAGTATGTTCTAAATCGAATCTATCACACAAAAACATTCGAAGACGAGAACGATTTTCATCGCAAGATCATCTACGTTTCCGACCATAGCGGAAACATTGTGAACAATGTTGCCCTCGTTCAGTACTCGTTTGAACATGAGGAAGTCGCTTTCGACCTCCAACCTCATGGGAACTCAAAGAAAGGAAGAGGAGCGAGAGGCTTTACTCGCACGCAGCCATCCACTCTGGCAACCCTCAAGGAGAAATGTGCGACTCTTGGACCCAGGGAAGCTGTTCGGCAATCGAAGGCCAGTTGTTGAGGTGTTACTGTGGTTGAATCTTCAAACCAGATGCCACGAGGAGTAAACCAAGCTAAGTACATTAGAAAGAAAATGGCGTCAGCTCAGCAGCAATTTGGTGGCGAGAATAGTGACGAGGTTCTGGCTGTTCTTGTTCGTATGAAAGAAGAGGATAATAGCTTTATAAGAGATGTCAGTATTGGAAAAGATGGGATATCAGTTGTTCTTGCCTCTGATGTTCAGTTAGCAGAGCTTGAAACATTTTGCACCGACGAAGCAATGTTTACCGTAATGCAAATTGACCCTACCTTCAACTTGGGCCCTTATGAGTGCACGCCAATATCATATCGAAATTTGCTACTTGAAAGAAAATCGACGGGCAAACCTCCTATTTTTGTTGGACCTGTACTGCTGCACTACAAAAAGGATGAGCGCACTTTCAAAGATTTCTTAAACAAGCTTAAGTCGTTGAGACCTGGATTGCAAGACATCATTTCCGTTGGAACTGATGGCGAAAAAGCCCTCATAAATGCTTTGCAGGACTGTTTGGCGAAAGCGTCTGAAAGGTCACTTCGTTGCTTCAGGCACTTTCGCCAAAACGTGGAAGATATGTTATCCAGGGCTGGTATCAAAGGTGCATCTGCAACTCAGTATGTTTGGGAAATTTTCGGCAAGACAGCAACCGATGGATCTTATGAGACAGGCTTGCTAGACAGTGATTCAGAGGATGAATTCGACGCAATGCTCGCTTCTTTGAAGCCTGTCTGGGAATCCCGTGAAAACGGCAGCAAAGCCTTTGATTACGTCAAGCAGAGGTCAGGCATGATGAAGAAGAATATGATTGCCAAGGTTCGTAGAGAAGCCGGTCTCATCTCTATGTCAGCCAGTGTCGACGTTCCAGTCAAGTTTTACACTTTAGAAGCTGAAAGTACAAACAACAGGATCAAGGCTAAGAAGAAACGTAGAGCATCTGGTTTTATGGGAACAATAGAAGCTATTCGTTCTATTGATGAAGAGCAGCAAGAAGATTTCGCATTAGCAGTAGCTGGGCTGCATGAAGATCTTCAACTGAGAGAAGAATTTGCCAAATTTCAGCGCCCAGATTTCCTGGAACTATCTACCAAAGAGAGGAAGAAATTCATTTCTAAACTTCGCAGCACCAGAGTTAGCAAGTTATTAACAGACGATCTTTCCTCAGTCTTGTCTGCAAACGCAAGTAGAACAGCAGGAGAGCGATTGGAACCCGGAGATGAACGATGCACTCTTCCTTTACAAGGTCTTGGAATTCAAACTACACCTGAAGACACAGATGAGAGCCTCGACCATTTAGCGATTAATGATGATGATGAAAGACTATCAAACTTGCCTGCTTTCACAAGACAAGGGATTCTACGGAAGGCAAACCTTATTCTCAGAGACAAGTCTGTGTATGAAGGACCTTCAATGAAGAAAGAGAACAAGCGGTGGTATTCCGTTGGTAGTTTCTCTTCCGACAAGCCACATCAAGTAGCCGTTAAAGAAGTTGATGGTGAGGTGTGCTGTGATTGTGAAGGATGGCGTGCACAAAAATTTTGTGCCCATGCAGTTGCTGTTTCTCAACACATTGGAATGCTGTCCAGTTACTTAGATTGGTACTCTAAGAAGAAAGACAGCAGAAACGTTACAAATATTGTGAACATGAATGTGAAGAAGCAATCTCTTGGACGGAAAGCCAAAGACAAGCTTCCGCGGGACAGGAAAAGGAAAGCGGAACCAACTGTCCTTGTAAAGACGAAAACCCGAAGAAAGAGTTTTCCAAAAGACAAAAATGAGCATCACCGTTACAGACTTTTGTGTCTTAGCGAGACAACAGCTTATAAATGTTATGGTTGTGACAGCGCAATGCGTTGTCCCCCCGCCGTCCCACCATCGCCCGACAACTTGACGTTGACAACGATGGAATACCGGTCTTTCTTGCGTGATGGGAAATTGCAAGTTAAGTATCAACGGACATATTATCACGTCAGCCAAGCATGTGTGCTGAAGAAGAATGACAATTTCTCATCAGCTGCAATTTTTCTGAAAGATTGTCCTCAACTGGATACCAAACAAAAGCAAAAACTAAAGAAAGAGTTTGGACTCCAAATATAAACTCTGAACTAGATCTAAACTATGTTATGAAAATTGTTGACAAAACATTCTTTTTACAGTAGACAGCTTGAGCAATTGCCCCTTTTCGCACGCTAACCCGATGTCCTTTAAGCCGTCATAGATTTCACGTTCGTGATTTTAAATAAGAACGATCACTAAGAACGGATTTTAAATAAGAACGCCCCATACACATCATTTTAATAAGAACGGATTTTAAATAAGAACGGTCGATCATTCGTCATTTGTAACGGCTTGGGGGATTTGCAGTTAACGTACGTGCATAGGAATCCCAATTACATATACATATACATATATATATACATATACATATACATATATATATATATACATATACATATATATATATATATATATATGTATATGTGTGTGTGTGTATGTGTATGTGTGTGTGTGTGTGTGTGTGTGTGTGTGTGTGTGTGTGTGTGTGTGTGTGTGTGTGTGTATGTATATATATATATTAGTTGTAAAAAATAAAAAGCGTTAAATTTGTCTAATTTTGAATAAATTTGGATTGCCATTGTATTACCGTGCTTTGACTATTTTCTTGCGCCGTGAATTCGGTGACATAATTAAATCGCGTATACGAAGCATACGCTATGGTTATTGAATAATATAACGTAATAACATGCAATATTATTCAAAATTAGACAAATTTACCTTGTTTTCTTGTCAAATTTAATTTTATTTTTTTACAACTATTTATTTATGGATTCCTATGGTATGTGTTGTAAAAATACGTTTGCTTGTTCAGGCTTTATAGTGATTATAGTTGTTGTGTTTGTGCGTGGCCCTATATGTTTAAAATTATAACATGCAGTATGTGCATAATATACCCTTGCGATGATTACTTCATAAAAAGTTTTTCACTCGCAAGAATGATGAGTCAATCATCTTACGCCTTTTTTTTAAAAGAGCGAGGTTACCAGGCAAAAAACGTTTTATGAACTAATTGTCGAAAGGGTTAAAGTCATATGAACTGTATCTACATTTTTGGACCACTGCATGATTCATGTTTGTTTAACTTTGTTTAATAGTTTAAAGTGCACCTAACCCCAATTATTTTTATCATCTCATTCTTAAGAACCTTTGAAATGATATAATGAGTTATTTTGAATATTTTCGTTTGCTCACTTTGTCTCTGACTCTGAGTTATTTCAGTTTTATTAATATGCACATGTTCGGGATTTACGTCACATGTGAATAATGACTGATCGAAGAATGCATGTAAGGTACAGTTAATTACTATGAAATAGAAAGGCTCAATAGTGTTTTACATAAGTGTATTTAGTCCTCCTAAAACTCCAAACTTTATTTTAATGAATTAAACTCAATAGTGAATACGATATACATTTGTGACGTAATTAAATTCTGGATATTTGCATACCAAACAAACTGAAATATCTCAGAAACAAAGTGAGCGAACGAAAATCTTCAAAATAAGTTATTATATCATTTCAGAAGTTCTTAAGAATGAGATGATAAAAATAATTGAGGTTAGGGGCACTTTAAAAGCCTTGTGTTGGGAAAATGTTATGGCAAGACGGTGAAACTAGATTATACTTTGCTTTATATTAGTCGAGTCCCATTGTTTGACGTCTACGCGTCATTAGCTGAATTCATATTAGAAGACGGATTTCCGTCCAAGACGGGAAACTCGTCTCAGACAAGAAACTCGTCTTGGTATAAATTCGGTTAACGACGGGTTCTCCGTTTCAACTTTTCCGTCTAACTTTCCCGTCTGACGATCGCGAGTTTCTCGTCTTAGACTTAGACGGAAATCCGCCTTAAATCCGTCTTAATTAAATTTATATCAGACGAATAAATCAAGACAGGTTTCTGCTCGTAACGTTCAAAAGAGACTTGGAGGGTCTCCTATTTTTTCGAGTTTATCCGTCCGATGGTTTTCGTTTCATACTTATACCATATGGAATTCAGCTATTTCCATGGCTATTTTAAAATTTTGTGATAATAAAGCTGCATATAAGTATAATGTCTAATGAAAACAATAGTGTTTCTGATCAGAGTTCTGCATCTTCAAATTTCACATGTGAAGCGTGTCATGCGTGTATTTGTATTTTCATTTTGGCAATTTGGCACAACCGGACTAGCGATTCGGTCATCTATGCGATCCGGTCCGACTTTTATACCTGCACGATCCGACCTAATCCGACCCGGACTGGCGATCCGGTCCGACTTTTATACCTGCACGATCCGACCTAATCCGACCCGGACTGGCAATCCGGTCCGACTTTTATACCTGCACGATCCGACCTAATTCGACCCGGACTGGCGATCCGGTCCGACTTTTATACCTGCACGATCCGACCTAATCCGACCCGGACTGGCGATCCGGTCCGACTTTTATACCTGCCTGGAAATATGCTGTAAAAATTGGAAAAATTCAAGGAAAAATAAATTTTATAAGTGTACAGTAGGCCCTGACTATGAGTTTGTATGCACTTCATTTAGGCAGGGGTGTATATTCTTCTATAATTCCCCCCACCAAAAATCGAAGGACTGGGGGGAAAGAAGGGAAAAATTTCGGTGGGTTAAGTAATTTTATTCCATCTTGGGCTAGGGAAGGCCGTGGGGAGGGGCATGATACTATTAGATACAGACCAATGTGGTAAAGAATCCAGGCCAATGTGGCAAATATGGGGAAAAGAATCAAATCTGACAAGAAGGGGGGGGGGATGGAATCAACGATTATTGAAGAATATACACCCCTGCATTTAGGACAGATAATCTTAACTGTTTTGGGGTAAAATGGGCATGATGTCAACAACATGGCGACTATGCCAAAACCTGCAGTATCCAGGGCGAAACCTTCCAAAATGGCCATGCCCAGAAAAGGCACCTTTGGCATACCTCTATTTACTAAACTGTAAAAGTTACACACTCTTTGAAGTTACTATGGTGTTTAGAATGATTGCATTTAGGGTGGTCACTATTAAAATTTGTCTGGGTATTATATTTCATGAGATAATGGCTGAGATAAGACAACAACTGATTTTCATCGTATAACCTTAAATCTCATGCAAAGACTAGACAAGTTGTTATTTCTTAAACAGTGGCGTAGCCGGCATCGATAATTAAGGGGGCGAGTATTCATATATTGTGTTCTACATTATTAATTCTTTTGAAATCAATTGTTTTTAAGGTCTGTGAACACGAATATATGAATATTTGCCCCTTAATTATCAATTTGATGCTGGCTACAACCACGGTTAATAGAAGTGCTACAACACTGTTCCTAAATATTTTTTGCCTAGGAGCAAACTTTATGGTTATTTGAACATAATAACAATAATAACAACTTGCCCAAACATGCTTGGCCTGCTGTAATCTATCAAACGTGAAAATTTTCATTCCTTACTCCATTTCACATGATGCTAGAACTAATACCAATATGCTACTGGCATGAATACTTAGGCCTAGTATTTTTCTTGAAATACTAGGCCTATATACCAGGCCGCCTGGTACATATTTCGGAAGATGTACTCCCTCAAATGGTAAATCCCACACATGCAACTAGATCATCGAGTTTAAACTCCATCAGTTTTTGCCCTCAAAAATGTAAGACAGTCACCTATCAGCATTCATTTTT